TCGGCATTCACTGATCATCTACATGCAAAAACACATTTTATTGCTAAAATAAGAGGGTCTCATCTGAAAATGAAATGTAGCCTGTGGCAGAATTTTGAACCTTATTAGCTCTGCGGAGGGAGTAGAATTCTAGGAATAGAGTTTCAAATGTCGTAGCTGATTTTGCTGTCAGAATCAAGAACTCTTCTCTTCTAGTTTTTATATGCGGGAGTTATTTAAAGAAATAAATTTAAAGTTGATTCCAGAATAAATGATTGCTGCCTCTTAAAATTCACCACAATTACATAGAGATATTTTTGAAGGATTTTGGAAGCAGTTTTAAATTTTCTTTGCAGTAGAGTTTTGATTATCTGATACCGCTCTACTGTAGCATTTAACAGAAGCAGCAAACAAATCTACGATTTCTGCCTTAAGCCAGTCTCTTGTGAAAATGGAAGGAGAGCTTCAAAACATACATTGAGAGAGAGTCTGCATACTTGCAAATCTCACATCTGCACAAGAACTTTGCATTAAACTGGATGCAGTCAAAGAACGGTTAAATCAGCAGTTAACTTCCACAGCAGAGAAGGTAGAAAGCGTATGTGGAACATGTTAGAAAAATAAGTTTATGTTAATATCATACTTAAGGGATCTAAATCTACTTTGGGATCTGGAATGGTCAAAGAAATCCTTATTGATGATTAGCATTTCAATTTTTTGAATGTTTAATTTGGCATTCCTCAGAGGGTGGATGCTGTATGCTATTTGAAAAGCACACTGCTTTGCAAGGTTTTACTATGACTACTCAAAAGTCAGGACTTAAAATGACTGGTTGTTTTCTTGAAAGATATCCCAGATTTTACATCTACTCACTGAGTAAGCAGAATAGCTGGAGTAGTTTATTGACAAAGAAACTTGATGTGGACTTTAAAATGCTTAACTGTTTTAGGAAGCATCAATATCTCTTTAATGATCTTCCTTACTTTCCCTTGAAGATCAATTTCTGTTGACCTTGATGTTTACAAAAGCTACAAACTTAATGTTTGATAGGCAAATTTTTAAAAACTCAGCTTGCATAAACTCTGAAAGATTGTTCATACATACTCAGATTATTCAGATATTTTCAGTATGATTCTGTCACTGTCCTGCCCATCCTCTGCTCCAGCTGAGATAATTTCTTGTTCTTTACAGGCTTCCAGCATTCTCTTTTAACCTTTACACCTTTTCCATACACCATGGGTAAAGCTACTGTTTGACAGTTGGTTATTTGTTCCAGCCAAATGTGTGTGATGTCTTTTGTATGCTTGTGGAATCCTCTACAATGCTTTCAATAGGGAAGAGTTTTAGCATATGACATTTGTCTGAAGCCTTTTTTGAGATCTAATGTGACTAAGGCTTCCTGGATCCTTCTGTGAGATTGTCAGTGAAAGGGCTTGCTGGGACTGTGGAGAGCAGCAACAGTTTCAGGAGAGAAAAATGCAGAAATGCAGTTGGGGAATTGGAGAAAAGTCTGAAGTTGGGACATTTTCACTAATTTTTTCATACCTTTCAACCAGTAGTCTTTTGTCAGCCATGTATAACCTTCAGATAGGGCTCTTATTTTACATAGTATTCCAATGCAGAAATCCGCATTACTAGATTGCGGCGTATGTATATTCAGAAGTGGAAACTAAACCTGATGCTGAATAATATTGTTCTTTTAGTGTTTCTAATACTGTTTATTTTCCTATAACTTATGCTGTCTACAGTTTTCAGTATTCGTTTTTTCTGAAATGCAAAAGCAGAATATCAAAACTGTTTATGGGCAAAGGAACTGAATTTTTGATTGACAGCAGAAAATTGGATCTTTCAAACTGAAAAAAACTTTGGTAAAACAAAAAAAAATTGAGTTTTGCTTTGGAAAATTGAAAAATGCTTTTTTTTGTTCTTTTTTTTTCCTTCCCTGTTGGCCTATGACCTGAATTCTCTCAGTATCTTCCTTGTTTGAACACACAAGTGGTTATCCTCTGAAAATTCTGAGGGATGTGCTGGAGAGGTGGGATGTTTTTTAAGACATCTCAGTACATAGATTTACCATGACCTTTGGGTGAGCATTATTGTGCTTAAGGTAAACTAGGCTTGAGTAAAATACAGATAAAAGTGTTTGCAGCACCCCAAATGAACTCAGTTAGACATACTAAAATGCATGAAAAGATGAAGGAAAAATAGCATCTAACTTACACTGAGATTAAAACAGTTTTCTGTGTCTCTGTAACTGACTCAATACAGATTTTCCTGACTTATAATCTCTGGAATTTTTATTTCTTTTTGTGTAGTTATGTCTCAGGTACACCCATTCTTCCTTTGCAGTGGAAGATACTAGGTTTTGTGGGTATTCTTTTTTAGGTTCCTCCAAGATATATACTTAATCTCTTGTTTAAGATTTTACTCATTTTCCCTTTCTCCCCAGATTCATTCTTGATGCTCCTTTAAATAAAACAAGTGTAATCTCACTCTGCTGGTGATATAGATATTGGTTTGTTATACTAGGTGTCATTTCCTGCATGCAAATGGTTAATCAGTAGTTTCTTGCCTCAACAAAATGTAAAACTTGCTTCCTCTTCTTTAATGATTCTGTCTACAGTCTCTGTCCGTTGACCCGTGTATTTAATAGCATTTTGTCATTTGTATCAAGTACATTTATATTCAGATATATACACTGGGTGAATTTATAAATCTGACACAGGATTTTGACTGAGGGCAAATCTAACATTAATCATCCATCTTTCTTGGAGTGAGAGCAAATTTTGGTCATTGATCCTAGACTTCCTTTTTTCTTTTCTCTCTCTCTCTCTTTTTTTTTTTTAAAAATAAAAAGGTTACCATACTAGATAGCCAGTAAACTTAACAGACATGTATCTAAAACTTTAAAATCTTTGTTTAGCTGCAGAACAGGTGTAAGTCATCCCATTCTGAAATACAGCTGCTGAAAAAACAACTGGGAAATGAAAGAGCATCTATGAAAAACCTGGAATCTTTGCTTATGTCCAGTCGTGAGAAAGAGTTGCAGTCACAGATAGCAAAGCGAGAAAAAGACTCTGAAATTCAGTTTCTCAAGGAACAGCTTTCTTTAGCAGAAAATGAACTGTGAGTAAATGACCAGGAGAATATTGCAGGTTTTTTCATTCGTCCCAAGTGTTTATACACAGAGATGATTTTGTATCTAGCTGCATTTTCAAATGGCTGATGTACTTTGGTTACCCTAACAGCAGAAGATACAAAAAACCTGCTTCTGATTCCTCAGCTATACCTTAATAGACTTTGCTGTGTAGTGTTATATTTTATTCCAAAAAATTTTCTTTATCTCATTTGCATGGTATAGCTGCCCTTTTAATTTTGGATAACTGTATTTGGTAACATACTTGGAGGATTATCGTTGCTATCTAATTAAAGTGTATGGACTTTACAGTGCCGTGCAGAGTCGAGATTTTACTCAGCTCAGAAATAGAGCAGCTCAGCTAGAGTTGGAACTGGATATCATGAAAAGACAGCTGGGGACTGAGCGTTTTGAAAGGCAAGTATATGTTTTTGTATTGCACTTCCTGCAAATAATTGGGGTGAAATGCAATGTAATGCTAAGACTTAGACTAATTAGTAAGATAAACAGCAAAGTTTGGTTTTGCACTGCTGTACATCTGTGCGTTTGGAGGCTGTTCATGTCACTAAATGTAGTTTGTTCAGCTGTTATATATGCTGTCTAAATTAGTTGTCTAGGTTCCCGCTATAGCCGACAGAATGAGATAAACTGCCCTCTGGAACTGCCTTTTTTAGGATGGGAGGGATCACTTTCCTGAAGATGCTCATCTGTCTTCACTTATTTATACTGATGCCTGTCTTGAGCTATAGTGAAAGTCTAGGTGACTAGTTGGCTAGTTCCCACTGAGTGGAAAAGGGTATACCTAACTCCTATTTTTAAAAAAGGAAAAAAGGAAGACCCAGGGAACTACAGACCAGTCAGTCTCACCTCTGTGCCCAGGAAGATTGTGGAGTAGATCCTCCTGGAAACTATGCTAAGGCACAGGGAAAATAAGGAGGTGATTGGTGACAGCCAACATGGCTTCACTAAGGGAAAATTGTGCCTGACAAATTTGGTGGCCTTCTACGATGGGGTACAGTGTTGGTGGATAACAGGAGAGCAACTGATGTCATCTACCTGGACTTGTGCAAAGCATTTGACACTGTCCTGCATGACATCCTTGTCTCTAAATTGGGGAGACATTAATTTGACAGATGAGCCCCTTGGTGGATAAGGAATTGGCTGGATGGTCATTCTCACAGAGTTGCGGTCAACGGCTCAATGTCCAAATGGAGACCGGTGATGAGTGGCATTCCTTAGGGGTCGGTATTGAGACTGGCGCTGTTTAACATCCTTGTTGGCAATGTGGACAGTGGGATGGAGTGCACCCTCAGCACGTTTGCCAATGACACCAAGCTGTGGTGCGGTCGACAGGCTGGAGGGAAGGGAATGCCATCCAGAGGAACCTGGACAAGCTAGAGAGGTGGGCCCGTGCAAACCTCATGAAGTTTAACAAGGCCAAGTCCAAGGTCCTGCACATGGATCAGGGCAATCTCAGGCACAAATACAGGCTGGGCAGAGAATGGATCAAGAGCAGCCCTGAGGAGAAGGACTTGGGAGAGCTGGTTGATGAGATGCTCAATATGACCAGGCAAGGTGCACTCACAGCCCAGAAAGCCAACCGTATCCTGTGCTGCATCCAAAGCAGCGTGACCAGCAGGTCCAGGGAGGGGATTCTGGCCCTCTGCTCCGCTCTGGTGAGACTCCACCTGTAGTAGTGATAGGACAAGGCATAATGGCTTTAAACTGAAAGAAGGTAGGTTTAGATTAGACACAAGGAAGAACTTCTTTATGAGGGTGGTGAGGCAGTGGCAGG